TTCTTAGCCATCAGTATTTTTCCTTTTATAAAGCAATTTGTCAGCCACAAATTAGCAGGGGAGTTCTAGAAATCTACCTGAACTCAATCTCCCCTCTCGCCCTACAAATTAGAGGGAGCCCAGGGCTCGAGGATCTTTTGAGCTCAGGGCTCTCTCCCGGGACAGCATGACAAACAGGCTTATAATCAATCATCAGCTAAGTGTGAACTCTTGAAATTGTAGCATGACAATTTATATATCCAAGCTAATTGAGTATTTCATTCAAAACAGTTTTTTCATAAAAAAAAATAAAACTATGTACTTTCAAATCATTAAACAACCTGTGCACAAAATATTTGCAATGTTTTCCCTCAAAGCTCAAAGGAAACCTAAAGGACTCCACGTCAGTCAGTTGTTTTGGATTTCTATGGGGCCAATCGCACCAAATGAGATTTTCCATTTTGAAAAGGCGAGGGACTGCAGCGCTTTTTTTTTGTTGACAACAAAAAAAGAAGTGTGCTGCGCTTTTTATGTTGCTAGGCAATGACTGAATCAGCTGCGTATTATGCACAAGTGTTGATGTTGATATTGGTATAATTTTAATATGATTAAAATATTAAATGATATGATATGATATATGATATATGATATGATATAATATGAATTTTAATTTGATAATGTTGTTATATTCAATATTTGTAAAGTCATACAGCTCTAGATAACTCAAAACAGCGACCAGTAGTTTCTCCTCTATCTTTAAAAGTCTCTGTAGTCGTCTTGACAGCACAAACACTGCTGTCACCTCAACGAAAACCCCGTCTCTGTTTTCATTTAATTGGAGATTGAAAAAGACTCAATTGACGTAACACACTTTTTCCACTCAGAGTTGACTTTTTTCAACTTTAACAGCACACATAGATAAAAACGTGAGGCACAGTAGGTGGTGAAAATGCAAGGCGCACACGGCACATAAGTAGCATGCAAAATGCTCACGAACATTTGTAAATCATTAAAAAAAGTGTTCTTTGATATTGGCCTCTGAAGGTGTTGCACATGCAAATTATCACAGCTTGGCCAGATTTAACAGGACTTAAGTCCTGCAACTTCATATAAAGAGCCTCACAAAAAGTTACAAAAAATATTGCAACCGCCAACACTGCGACGATGTCACATTCACTGTGCGCACCCTAGCAAGCTTGCAGGTATGTTGAGTAACAGCCTTTGAGGTCAATAAGAGATCTAGATGTTCTCCTCATTGATAGCTGAGGAGCAGATCTAGCATTAGCTGAACAGGATGACCCAGAATGAAAACGATGATTTCATGGAAGTAGAGGCAAAGTAACTATACATAACTTTATATAAACAACTACAGTGGAAATGCAAAACAAAAGAGAGTCGAATTGTAGCTTACCGCATAGTTGAAAAGCAGCTTAAGATTTAGGCAGCAAGTTAATTACTTTAAACTGGTATTTTAATTCAGGCTGATATAAGATTGTCATTTGTTGGTCTCATTTGGTCTGAAATTGTAGACCTTTGGTCTTCATAAGCTTGACTAAACCAGTGTTAATTTTGACAGCAAATTCTGATTTAGTCTTAGTCTTAGTCTTTGGATTAATACACCATTTAGTTTTAGTCCTATTTTAGTCATCTGAAATCTTTTAGTCTTAGTCTAGTTTAGTTGACTAAATATCATAAGAGTTTTAGTCTTAGTTTAGTCTTAAGTCTATTAGTCTTAGTCTAGTTTTAGTAGACCAAATATTAGCAGATTTTTCTCCATAATTCATGTAATTGTAAGTATAATGAAATATATGGAAGCATATATAGAATACAGGCACATATCTTATTGTTGTAATAAAAACATTTTATTACATGTCAAAAACATGAGTCTTTTTCACAAAAAATAACCAAAAGACCTGCTCTCCCTGAACAATATACATGCTCCCTGAAAAAGATATGCATTGTCCCGGAATTATATGAAACGCATATGACATTCTTTCAAGATAAAGTACAGCATTATTGAAATAGATAACCAATGAACTTACTGTCTTTTACAGTGTTTGCAAAATCAAAAGCATAAAGAAATATAAAGTGCAATTCTCAAAAATTAAAATAACTGGTTGTAATGCCACTTCACAAGGTATTTAAATACAAAAAATAAACACTACTGTAAATGTCCATGTACCTCAAGAGAAGTTAAATAACTTCTAAGACACAATGCCTTGCTACTCTGTAAAATCAACAAGATTTTGAACAGAACAAATTAGTGCAATTCTTAAATTTAGAACAAAAGATGTATTGGCTGCAATGCCACACAATGCCAAAGAAATAGTCCTTAAAGTTCAAGTAAATAAAAACTCCTCTCTGCTCTCTCAGCAGTGAAAATACAGGTAAATCACATTAAACAAACAAAAAAAAAAAAAACCATACAACTATGTTAGCATCATTTTCTTCATGCGGTTACTGTCCTGTGTAAATTGTATACTACTACAGGAAATGTTGCAATAGTGAATACAATATTTCTATTTGTTTCTGTTCATCTTAAGGAAAGCACTTCGCTCCAATGTGACCCTTCCTCTGTTGCGCCGTCCTCTTGTGAGGTCACCTGTGATGCTAAATACCCTCTCTGCAAAAGCTTGAGAAGCGGGCATAGCTAACAAGTCTAATGCAAAAGGTTTTAAACTGTGGTAAACACTGTCACTCTTTCCCAGCCAGAAGTCTGTTCCTGTGTCCTCAATGATGGGATGGGAGAGTTCTTCCTTGTACTTGATGATCTGCTGCCTGATGTTGCTTGTGGAGGTTTTCTGTTTAGGCCTTGTGGTGCGGCATTTTGAGAGAAACCTAAACACCGGCTGCTTTGAGGATGGCGCTGCTTCTGGTTCCTCAATAACCTCCTCTTCATCATTTTCAGACTGGCCCTCCTGTTTTGTGCATTTGACTACATAGTCTTCTGCCTGCTTTAGCAGTTCCTGGATATTTCCATTAGCAACATCAACATTAACAATGATTTCACAGACAGTTGGGTTAACAAAGCAGGCAGCTGCTGCAAGTGGTGAAAACTTTTCATCAGTTGTATCCAAGATGCAAGCAAAACGCTGGTTCAGATTTGATCTCATCTTGTCTGCAAGAGTAGCGAGGTCTCTGTACCGAGTGTTCACTGCAAAGTCAGTTAGGTGGGTCAGCAGATCAAAGAGGGCAGGAACCACTAGAGACATAGATGTGGTGTCACTCTGAAGAGTTTTAGTGTGTTCTGCAAAAGGCAGCAATAGGTCATGCAATGAGGAAAGCTTTTGCCACTCACTAGTAAGCAAACTGTCCCATCCCATGTCATTTGAGATTTGACAGACTGCATCTTTGACTTTGAGGAGTCGTGTGATCATGTTAAATGTGCTTGACCAGCGTGTGGGGCAGTCATTTACAACAATAACACCACATTGGTCCAATAACTTTTGTGTTGCAACTGAGGACTTGCGAAAGAGCTTCACCACAGACCTAGCTTTATCGAGAACTCTTTTGACAGTTGTTTCTTTCTGCAACATGTGGACCACCAGTTGTATGGTATGCACAACACATGGTGTCCGGTCCAATTCCATGTCGACATGACGATACCTAACAATAAAAAAAAGAGAATCAAATAAGTCTAAACCTAATAAAGTGGCTGGTGTGCATATGTGTATACTGTATATATCTAGTGTGTGGCAGGGAGTAATAATTTGTGATGATTGACTCTCAGGAAAAAGAATAAAGTAAATATGGCTTACCGCTGGTCATCAATTTCAGAGTCACTTTCGATCGTGGACCCAGGGGAGTCGTCCTCAGAGCTGGTTTCTTCTGCTGTGGTGTTTTTAAAGGCTGCCACCATGTTACTCCCATTGTCCGTTATTACCGTCAGGATCTTCTCCTTTGGTATGGTCCACTCTTGCATGCATTTGTCCACACATGCCTTAATAGCCTGTGCAGTGTGTGGGTGACCTACTTGTTGAAGGGCCAACAATATGTGTGCAGGTTTACTTTTTTCAACACAAAAGTAGCATGCACTTATAGCAAGGAATGAGGCTGTCAATCCTTTTTTTGTCCACAAGTCAAGGCCAATGGATACTTTCCGGGCAGCAGCCAGACTCTCTCTGAACTTCTGTCTTTCATGTTCATACTGTGTTTCAATTAAATTGCTAATTTTAGTTTTCTTTGGAACTGTTAGTCTCCCATCTATCATCCCCATCATTAGCACAAAGTCCTCATCCTCAATTGTTGTGAGTGGTAAACCTGTCCGTCCAATCCATCTAGCTATGGCCTGCTCCTTGGTCTGTTGTTCCTTTGATTCAGTCTTGTACTTTGAAGACCTTAGGAAATCTGAGATGGCCTGCTGCTGTGTTGTACTAGTAGCATCACTAGCTTTATTTCCACCTGGCCCATGGTCATCAGACATCTTCTGTATCTATGAGGATATATAAATGATATACAAAGTTGAGATATTTTTTTCTTTCTTGCCATATAACACACACACACACACACACACACCTTTTGTCGAGTCATATATAACACCACAACATCTATTATAATAGTACACATATTTATATAAATTAATTCAGCGAGACAATTCGTTTAATCAATACTATTCAAAGTTAATTTTTCCTTTGGCTTCAATTTTATTCCAAGTTTAGCAGAATCACGTTGGTTTATCTTATAGGATAACCTTAACGTTAGCGTTTATGCTTACCTTGGAGTGGATTTCTGGATGAGCCGTCTGTAAATGTCGCTTCAAGTTGGTGGTGTTTTTCCCAGCGATTTTTACTCCACATGGTTTACAGACGCTCTTGTTGTCCTTGTTGTCATATGTGAAGTTTGACCAGATGTCAATTCTTCGTTTTCGTCCTAGACCAAGCTCTGACATTTCTGTCTGTCTGTTCATGAGACGCTGCCCTCGGACCGAGTGAACAAAACTTTAGCGTGTTGCTAACGAGAAAAGTCAACTTAAATTAACCAACGCTTTGTAAACCGAGTATAATGTGTAACTAAATATAATGTATAACAAACGTCATCATAACTTGAAAACCGCGGCTTTTGTTTTGAAAATGGCTTTGCCAAGATCAACCTGCCCTCAAAAGATTCGCTCTGATTGGATTTCCCCACAAAAGGGTAGTTCTTATTGGATCTCTTCTCTATTCGTCCCGCCCCAACATTTTCCTCTCGTTTTTATTCGTTGACTAAAGTGTCAGTTAAATTTCGTCATCGTCTTCGTCATCGTATCTGACTTTTTATTTAGTTTTTATTTAGTTTTCGTCTGTAAAAAATGTTCGTTGACGAATAATTTTCGTCATAGTCTTCGTCAACGAAATTAACACTGGACTAAACTGGTCTTTTTGTTCAACTCAATCATGGTAGACCAGCAACAAACAATCTACTGTTCCAGGTGATAATAATTTAAGAGTGCTATTTTAAGGTGTTGCAAAAACTTATAATGCATATGGTGGAAAATTGAGTGTCTGATTGTAAATAGAGTGTACCAACTTCTGGCAAGTCATAAAGGGTCATTGGTTAGTACAAATGGCACAACTGTTGCACTAAAATGGCCATAAAGAGGTCTAGACCAAGGATGTCCAAACTCAGTCCTGGAGGGTCGTTGTTCTGCTGAGTTTTACTCCAACTTGCTTTAACACACCTCCCTTGTAGTTTCTAGAATATCTAGTAAGAACTCGATAGGCTGGTCGAGGTGTGATTGATTAGGGTTGGAGCTACTCTCCAGTTTTTACACCCTTGGTCTAGACTGTCTAAATTATTTTCTCTGAACCGGTTAACATGGTTAATCAAAGCAGGTGTCGTTTGGTAGATTAGCTGCTAATTATCTACTAGCTAAAGAGGCAACATTGATTGTTATGTACCAGCTTATGACCATCTTATACCAGCAAGAGGCCAACTGTGTTTCAAAACAGTGTGACTAGCTGAAACTGGATTTTCCAGCAGGAACACAGAGAGCTTATGTGTACTTAAACTTGCTCAACCTTTAGGAAAAGTCACAGATCTCCTGAAGGCGATGAGACATCTGTGGGCTTCGGTTTGGTTCATTGTAGAAAGTGTGATTCTAGATGCTTTTTTTATAATCAGACACTGAAGGGTTGTTCAAGGTCTTCTAAATTGTCCAAACTTAGGATGAACAGATCTGATCAGTGACCAGTCTTCATCTGTCTATCTCTCTCTTTGTGTGTCTAAGCGATAGAAAACGGACAGCTGATGTGACATGTCGAGCAGTGACAGCTCTGTCCTACCATGTGAACTGCTGTACCTCATCTAAAAAAATCACATTAAACATTTATTTACCCCTGTTCCTGCAATGGAATATATTCTTATTAATGGCTTCAATAATTGAGTCAGCAGCTTTCCTTTTTTTTTTTTTGTATTAGCTGTGTGGTTTTCTCAAATGGTTTGAGTTGTCTTAACTTATTGGGTTTTACAGTTGATAGATTTCTTTTTATTATTTTTTGGTTTTACTGTGCTCAAATTGCTTTGTTTACTTAAATGCATTAAGTTCACAGTACTCATTAGGATAAGTTTTTTTTTTTTTTTTTTTTTTTTTTTTACTTAAATGGTTTATTGCAATTGTTTTTCTTAAATGGTTTGAGTTACCTTAACTTTTCAACCCAGGCTCATTCTGAAAACGTAGTCCCATGGATGCGACTGTGTGTGCTTTTTCGTATCTCAAATGTTTCTTTTGAGTGCCATTTTCACCTGCCGCTGTCTGTCTATCTGACTGAATGAATGAATGATTGACTGTGTGACCGGCCAATCAACTGACCCAGCCTCCTTCTTCCCTAAATCCAACCAATTTTACTGATTGACCCACCCACCCGCTTACATCCCTAAACCCAACCAAAAATTTACAAAAGCCGTCCAGAAAAAGAAAAGCCCTCGTCTGATTTTTACCGCGTTTTCGGATTTTACCACATTCTCACCCTGTTATGAACTTGTTCACTTTATTTTTTGGATTCTGTTTTTGTCTTACCTGATTTCTATAACCGCTGTTCCTCGGACTCTGACCCGGTCATCATCGTCGTCGTGGTCAGCTCCTCGCTACACGGTAAAAATTTTTAAGTTAAGTCAACTAAAACCATTTGAGGAAACCTATTGCTACAAACAATTTTAGTTAAAAAAAAACTAATCCATATGAGCACTGTGAACTTACTCCATTTAAGTTGAAGTAATAAAGTATTTATTCACCTCATTACCTTCAACACTGAGTTCAAAACTCTTTTCAAATGAGTATAAATAACTTTCAGCACATTTTGAGGTAAGTACACTCATTTCATTTGTTACAGTTGACTGTTGGGTTTTACGGTGTGCATGTATGTACAGTATAATACATATTAAGCTATACATAAATTAATATGTTTTATTATTTAATGTAATATTGTCCTAACAATATGCACTTGTAAGGGAACTTCATGTTATCCTTAATGTTAAAAGCATGTTTTTTAAAAGGGACCTATTATGCAAAACACACTTTTATAAAGGGTTTAAACACAGTTGTGTTGCAACAATCTGTAAATGTAACCAGCTTCTAATAGCTAGAAATATATGTATTTTTTATTATCACAGATTATAAAAACTGTCTGCAGAAAACCTTTGATTGACATTTTTCATTTGTTTGTGTCATCAGAGGGAAAAAGCCTTGTCCATTAGTGATGATCTCTCCCTCATTAGCAAAGAACTTTAGTCTTGTTTTTCAATCTGCCGTTATGCTGACACACATGCATTTGCAGCTCCTGCGAACAATTTAATTTGAATTTAAAGAAACAGTCACCAAAATGATGCGATTAGGGTAAAAGCCTAAAAGGGGCAGTTTCAAATAGTTATATAAAATAAAGAAAACATTATGTGTGAAGTATTTTGACATCAGAGGGACATTAGAGACTTATTTTACATCTTGTAAAAAAGGGCATAATAGGTCCGCTTTAAAAGCAGTAAAATAACCAGAACCATACTATATGATGGTAATCTATATAATAAACTATATGAATAAGTAATTAATAGTATAACAAACAATTAATTAAAGTATTACAATTTAGCGTCCCCAATTCGCCTATATCGCTTGTCTTTGGACTTGTGGGGGAAACTGGAGCACCCGGAAAAAAACCCACACATACATGGGGAGCACATGCCAACTCCACGCAGAAATGCCAGCTGACCTAGCCGAGACCTGAACCAGTTACCTTCTTGCTGTGAGGCAATAGTGCTATTCACTGCGCCACCACGCCACCCATAAAAGAAACTGGGAACATGAAGTACTGGGAAAAACAGTCATTTAAACTGTAGTGTATTTTATATTATGTTTAAATTTCAGATATTTCCATTTGACCAAATTGCCACTATTATTACAAATGTGTAATTACAGACATATAAATTGTTTGTTACAACATTCAAATACACTAAACATATTTTAGCTTCAGTATAATTATGCTATTATACACTAACCTACAAAAGTCTTGTCATTGATCCCAGTTGTAAGAACAACAAATAATAACTTGACTTCTACTTGATCTTTTGGAAAAGTTTCTGAAGGTAGATTTATCTGATGAATCATCTGTTGAACTGCATCCCAATCATCAAAAATACTGCAGAAGACCTATTGGAACCCGCATGGACCCAAGATTCTCACAGAAATCAGTCAAGATTCCTTCTCATACTAAGCCTCCACATCAAAGTTCCTGATGGCAAAGAAAGTCAAAGTCAAGGTGCTCCAGAATTGGCCAGCCCAGTCACCAGACATAAACATTATTGAGCATGTCTGGGGTAAGATGGAGGAGGCATCGAAGATGAATTTAAAGAGTCTTGATAAACTCTGGGAGTGCTGCAAGAACGCGTCCTTTGCCATTCCAGATGGCTTTATTAATAAGTTATTTGAGTCATTGCAGAGAGGTATGGATGCAGAGGCCTTTGCTTTTCATAGGAAGTAGTTTTTATAAAGACGTTATATTTAGGTGGGTCAAAAATGTACTCTTCAGTTCAGCTAATGTGTTTCATATAAATGCAATCAATTGTTTTTTTCCGCTGTGCCGACTCCAGTTTATTAAAGGGACTAAGCCGAAAAGAAAATGAATGGATGAATAAAACATTCAACATAATATGTTTCTTTAAATTTAGCCTATAAATAGTTTGCAATCACTTACCTTAAAAAAATGTAAATGCAATGAATCATTTTTATCAGTGCAGTATATTCTTCAAAAGTATATCATTCCCACAATAAACACTCTGCTAAAGTGCATTACCTTTCCAGAGGGATTCTCAGATCTCGTGTCATTATGTAACAGACCTTAAATCATATTAAAATCTCAACCCCATCCACCAAAAACTCATGCAACTTAATTAATTTTTCCATTGTCATGTAAGCTGCATTTCCTCTTATCGAGACGCATCTGTGGCCAGGTCTGTTTCATGTGTCTGCGATAGATTGGGTTACTGTGTACACATGCCGTGAGTAATCTAATCATCAGTTAAGCAACCAGCCTGCCAGCACCTTATTGTCAATGCAGGGCACTCTGTAAACAAGGAACTGTTTACAGTCTTTGGTCTGTGGTATCAGCTCAGTACACAGAGT